CATGACATTTCACTCCCAAATATTTTTGCATGCACCTAACAATAACAGTGTTCTCCCATAAAACCACAATACCACAATCACACAAGAAATAAGCATTAAAAGGCCATCTTTAAGGGAAAACTTGGCCACCAGGGGTCTGCTGGGCCTTGCCAACCACACGTTTCGCCTGCCACTGGCCCAGCATCCAAGGCCTCCCTGGAGAGGCCAGCCCTGAACCCCACTGGTTAAGCAATCAATTCTGTTAGCTGGAAGACTATTCTGGACGTGAATGGTCGCTTAAGGCCAGATGTGAGACTCCCAACAAGACTCCAGCGGAAAAGGCAAAGCGGGACTGCGGAGGTTCCTAGCCCACCCTAGGCTAGAAGACAACCTCTGGACACCCCTTTTAATCCGTTGGTTTATCAAAGAGTTCTGGGAAAACTCAGCTTCCCAACGCTTTCTCTCCCTCAATTCAGGACATCCTCAATTCTCCATGTTAAAAGTTTTCAAGGACTCCCTCCTCTGGAAATGGGCTGGCTCCAGATGGCAGCAACAAGCAAACATCTGAACAAAGACAGGAGAGTGCACGGGGTAGGGTCACAGAGCCCGCCTCAGGTTCTCCTCGGCAGCCGTACTAGAAGCTCACAGCTCTGTCTTGAAGGTTAACAGGTAAGGGAGGACTGAGGTCCTTCACTGAGCAGGAGACACTGCCACAAGCACCCAGGGTCCCATCCTGAGCATGGCATCCCCAAGGAAGAACAAAAGAGAGGGGAAAAAGCTGTAGAGAACCAGAAAAGGAGAGATGCGAGAGCCTGAACAGGGAACAGGGGATGAAGGAAGGGGCCAGAAAAGATTTGTTGCATCCTAACAACGGAAAGCAATCGAACCAACAGGCAACCCAGATCCAAACCAGTATCATGAACAGATGTGTAAAAATGGTTACAAGCCTAAACTGCATTTAAATCCCAGCCCCGCCACTCACTGGTTATAGAACTTGGGCAAGTAGGCTCACCCTCTTGGTCCCTCTCCATTTCATCATCTATAAAATGGGTAGCAGTAAAAGTGTTCTACAGATGGCTATCATCACTAATGAAGGCAATGAGACCAGGACAACCCAGGGGAGGCTGGAATGAGAGTGAGGCTGGGAGGAAGTTTTTTTTGGACATCTCTGGCCTTGGAACGAGGTAAGAGCCCAAGGGACGCTTTGGAAGGTCAGCATAAATGGGGGAGGAGGGCTGGTCAGCCTTCCACTGGCCAGTGCACAGCCATCACTGGGGAAACTAGAAAGGAATACCGGGATGGTCCCTTGGGGGACCTCAAACCCACAGTGGCAGGGCTCTGGCCCCTGAACCTCTCCACACTAAGCAGTGGATGCCCAGTAGAAAGGGTACCTGCTTAGGAGTCAAACACACCAGAGTGTGGATCCCAGCTCTGCACCCCACCAGTGCACAGCCCAGGGGGAGACGCAGCGCTGACACAGAGCCCCACAAGGAGCGCACCAACACTCCAAGGGCCAGCAGCTGTGTGCCCTGACCCTGGCCGAACACACAGAGGCACCACAGACTGGCAAGCCCAAAGTCCAGACTTTCCATGGAAACAGAGCGACTCCGTAGCCTGGAATGCCCCCAGGCAACTCCCCAAACCCCCAGTACCCCCTCCAAGGACAATGAGGTACTGTTTTCCAGAGGGTCAAGACTGCTCAGAGGCTGAAAGAAGACAGGTCCAGATTCCAGTCGCAACAGGGCACTGCCAACAGCTGGCTGTTCCCCTGAGAGAGATGAGAAAAGCGAAGCTCTCCGGGCCTGCACTCGACCACCCTTTGCCACACAGGCCATATGGGATGGCCCCCAGGCCAGAAATTTTAAAAGGTACCTAGCCAGCAATTACTCAGCAGGCCCCATGGCTCATCCCCCTGGTTAATTACTGAGCACTTACTAACATATTATGATGTTGCACGGATCAATCTGGGTTCCAATCCCAGCTCCCCCGCTGAACTTTCCTGACTCAGATTTCCGCGTCTGTAGAACAGAGATGAAACACCTCCCTCTCGGAATGGCTGTGATGATACCATGGAGTGCTGAGTAGGCTGCTGCCTGGCTCCCATCAAGAACGCACGATCACTATTAGCTCCCAGCTGTGGTCACTGCCCCCACCCCCACCCCAAATTACATGAGGAATTTAGGGGAGAGCGAGGAGTCAGGTCAGAAAACGTAATCAGAGTGCATCTCAGTGTTGTGGGAACTCTGTCCAGGAAACTCCAGCCAGAACTCGAACAGGGAGAGCTCCCAGCCAAACCAGCATCTAAACAGTAATGAGAAAAGCCACCAGCAGCCACCCTGCAGCACAAAGCAGAGAGAACACACAGGCAAGGGCAGGACACGCTGTGTTTATGTTTTTCTGCCCAAAGAGCTATAAATTTGTAACTTATTAAACAGCACATGGTGCGTTTGTCACTAACAGCTACAGGGAGGGGAAGAGTTCTCCCTTTTTTTTTTCAGACCTAAAAAACAAAGTCACAGCAGCGACTCTGACCCCTCCAGACTTGCCATGGGACAGACCGTGAACTCCCCTGTTTCAGGGGCTGAGAGGCTCACAGCTGAGAGTACTCAGGAGAAAAATAAAAACGAGAGGCCTGGCCTTTGTGTCCACCCTAACTAAGGAAAACAGCTGACGGGCAGGGTGCTGAGCAGCCACCCAGACAGCTGATGGAGCCTGAGCGCAGAGGCAAATTCCTCTCCCCTCCTGCACGCCCCATTCCTCCCACCCCAAGCTCCAGTCAGACAGGCGTGGCTGGCCCCTGGGAGCTTAGGCCAAGGAAGCCGGGCAGCTCAGATCCAGACAACTGGGGGGCCTACGGTGGAAGGCAGCAGTAGTTACAGGTGGCAGGCATCGCCCCACTGCAATCCCTCCTCAGGAAGAAAGGCCTCATGGTCCCCAGAGCTGCAGATATGAGCGCTAGAGATTGGGCTTCTAGCTATGATATTGTCATTCTGTGGCTGTGCAGCCTTGGGCAAGTGAATCAACCTCTCTTAGCCTCACTTTTCTCAATTTGTAAAAGGCACGTAGTAATGATAACAGTGGCCCTGAGGGGCTCTTATAAAGGGCTGCTGTGAGGATGGGGTGAGTTGAGGCATGGGGAAGTACTCCAGGAACAGCAAATGTAAATTCCTACAATCCGCTCGGCCAGGGCACTCTCTTTCCTTTCAGAGATGAACTCAGCTTCCTGGCCCTAAATGGAAGACTGTCAGAGGACAGGAATTCCAGGCTTCAACTGCAAACTCTACAAAGACTTTCTCAGTCCTTCAAACAGCATGGGGACTGTCTAGAAGCAAGAGAACCCACATCAGCATTTCAGAAACTGTAACTCTGCTCCCGAGTTCCCCACTGGGAAAGCACTGAGACTTTCAGATCCTGATTCAAAAAAATATCCCTCAGCCTCCTTTCAGCTCAGTTATTTTTACATGAAAAAAAAAATACCTGCCCAGAAGCCATGCCAACCTTGAGTGTGTTAGAAAAATGGGTGCCAAGCCTGACCCAAAGGCAGAACTATGCTTGGCAGCTGCTGCGCTCTGCAAGACACACAGGGCTGTACACCTTCTCCAGCTCCAGGATCCCGGGGGTCAGGGGAGTAGGGAGGCACCCTGATCCCAAAAGGAAGATTCTGAGGAGCAGTCAAGTCCCAGTCCTCCTCCCTGTCCCCTTGAAAGTCCAGTGCCTACAAATAGCCAGTCTTAATTTAGTGCCCTGTGTGCTTGGGGGGGGGCCCCATCAGTCCTGTCTGATGAATCCACTTCTCAGAGCCTGAGGCAGAGAAAGCATGAGTGGACACACAAGCCACTCACAGTCCATAGAGGGAAGACAAGGCTCCTACAGAGAAAGAACTTTCCCCCCCTCCTCAACTGCCCGGCTCAGAAGCCCTTCAGCTACAGGCGTGAAGGGGAGGTTGGGAGGGAGAGTGAATCCTCCCACCCCAGGGTTCACACCACTCAAGGCATTCCTAGAACCCTGGCACCAACCCGCCTGGGTTTAGTGTCTGGTTCCAGCAGATAATTTCCCCTGCCCTAACACCAGATCGGGACTGGACTGAAAAGAGCATTTTGGGAGCTCCGGTAACATGAAAACAGTAAAACTCTGTTCTGGGCATCCTGTCCTCCTTACCTGTGTGGCCTCCAGCAAGGTTTGATGGGGTGGGGGGAACTCTACCAGCCTGGACACGTTCAGAGATAGCCATACCGTGGGGCCCACTTCCCACCTCATTCCCCTGGCATTTCACCAGAGTCTGGGGTAAGAGTCCTGTCTCCCCAACTTACTCTTTCAGGATTAGGCTGGTCTGTGATATGAAAGGGGAGGGGTTGGTCCATGGAATGGCCAGGGCAGTCAGGGAAATGGGAGAGGGGGGTCAGTGGGGTGGCTGGGAAATTTGTCTGTGGGGACGTGGTTCCTGGAGGCTCATCTCTAACTTGTGAAATGAAAGGGGTCGGCCTGGAGGGGTATCCCTGAAGTGGGGGTGTCAGTCTGTGAGGTGGGGGCGTTCCTAAAGGGGGGGGAGCAGGTCCTGGAATGGAGGACCCAGCCTGTGAGATTAGGCAGCTGGGTGTTTCATCTGTGCGATGGGGGTGGGGGAGCGGTCTGTGAAGTGAGGGGTCTCATGGCTGGGGAGGTGGTCAGGTCCAGGCAGTAGGGGGCCCGTCCCTGAGGCGGACGGGGCGAGTCCTTGACGAGCAAGCTGGTCCCTGGAGTTGCTCTGGGAGATGGGGGTCCCCGAGGTTGGGGGTCCGGAGGTGGGGCTGTCCTCATGACGGGGGTGGGGGGTGACTGCCGTGAGGACGGCGGCGGGGCTGGTCTGGCCTGGGACTCAGGCCCAGCCCAGGATCCTGGCCCCGCGGAGCCCCGGGGGGCCGGAACCAGAGCCGGGACCCGGGCTGCCGGGGGTGGGATTCCGCCCGCCGCTTGCTCGCACCCGCCCGGCCCAGGGCCGCGCGCCCCTAGCTGCCTCCTCCCTCGGCCTCCTGCTCACTCACCCAGGTCGTCCATGGCCGTGCCGGGGTCGCGGGGAACCGGCTCGGCGTCGCGCTCGCTGCCTGTCCCGGGGCCGCTCCTCTCCGCCGCGCAACTTTTCCGCCGCGAGCTTCGGCCCGGAACGGAA